AGAAGCAAGGCCTGCCAAGTTGAACGGGTCTTCATTCCACATGACTCTGTGCTTTACAGAGTGGAACTGTGGTGTCCAGCCAGATGTCATTGGACTGCAACTTCTAGCATGCCTCACCAACAGCCCTGCTGGTTAGTTGGGGTGATGGGAGCTGCAGTTCATGAACACCAGAGAAAGGCAAGAATTCCCACACTGGCAGAAAGGAACGCAGCCCAACACTAACTCAAGCACCAGGACCCAAGGGCCCCTTCCCTGGGGCCACCCCTCATTGTTTTAATTTTGGTGCACACTAGAGGGCTGCTTCCAGTTGCTGCTTAACACCCCCTCGTCCATATACCAGGGGCTGGGGTCCCAAACTCAGCCCCAGAGAAGCCCATGGCCTTGGAGGGTGGCTACACGTGCGTGCACAGCCCTCCACCCCTCACCTGCTCAGCTGGGGCAGATGCCGCAGCCCCTCATCGGTGACATGGGTGTAGTCCGTCAGGTCTAGCTCCAGGAGGCCGGAGAGGCGGCACAGAGCAGCCAGGCCAACATCTGTCACTGTGTGGCGGCTGGGCAAGGAGAGATGCACCAGGGGCAGACCTGCAAGAGCCGCCCCAATGGGAGGCGGGGGGGGACACACACAAGGTACCCGCTGGTCACAATTCCCACTTGGTGTGCTCACAGGGGTGATGGGAGTTGCCTGCTCTGTCCAACCGTCCACCTCCCACGAGGCTCTGCTCCCTGTGGGTATGGGGGCCAATCAGTGGCTCTCTGTGCCAGCGGCTTCCACTGCCAAGGCCCCATGGAGGCCCTCCTGCCCTGCCTGGTACCTGAGATGAGCTCCAGGGCCCTGTTGCCATCCAGTGACTGGACTCCTGAGAGGGTCAGGCTGGAGAGGGAGGGGTGTGAGGAGAGGGTCTGGAGGGAGGCCTCGCTCACAGGGGTCCCATCCAGGTGGAGCACCTGCAGAGCCCCCAAGTGCCGCAGCGCCGAAACGTCCGTGACCTGTGAAGGAGGGGGGCAGATTAACCCCATGGAGCTGGGAAAGCCCCCCAACAACTACTCCTGTCAAAGGAAATCTCCCAATGACTAGTCCCACTGGGGTAGCCAAAGGTGCTGGGAAAATAGGGAGGTGCTGAATTCCCTGTTTCCCCTGCTGAGGTTGAAGGACCTCCCTCGCCCCGACTTACACCCGTCTGCTTAAGGCTGAGAGCCCAGAGGTGGGGTGCGTGCTGGGGCAGGAGGGCAAGGGTGCTGTCTGTGATGCCCGTCTGGTTGAGGCTCAGGTGGGTGAGAGTGGGGGGTGCTGAGGGCAGGAACTCTGCCAGGCCCTGATCCGAGACACGTGTCTGATCCAGCGCCAGGTGGGACAGGTGGGGCAGCCCTGCAGGGAGAGCAACACAAGGAGGCAGGAAGAGGAGGATGGTGTGTGTGTGTGTGTTTGGTGTGTGGTGTGTGTATGTATCTTGACTGTATGCCCCTCCCCTGGGGAAGAGATGTCATGTGATAACACAACATCCCCTTTCCTTCCTCCAAAGCCCACAGATTTGTCATGGTCAGTGAACATGGGACACAAAGGCACGTATACCCTGGGCAGGAGGCGGCCTAATACACCATCTTGGCCTCCCTTGAGACAGATTCAGAGTGAATCATTAGCACCATTTGGGCAAAGCCAGAAGCATACCTCATACCTCTTCACTCCCCCAGAATGGGAAACAGGGCAACCATCGCTTGACCCCCGCCCCCTGTAGCCTGGGTGGCCAAATGAGACTCACGTCTGCCTTGAGGATGCTAGACCAGCTTCCACACTGTGCCCCAAAAGCTGGTCACTGGTGCCCAGGCAGCAGGGGAGGGGGGGACAGAGGGGGGGCCCCCCATCCACTTGCACTTCTCTGGCCCCTTCCTGGGGGAGCTTCCGATAGGTAGCCAGGGGCACCTATCCTGCCTGGAGGGAAAGTGCTGCAAGAGAGATCCAGAGGCAGGTGTGTGTAGGGAGGGTGACCCCAGGGAGAGTGGGGCTGAGGCAGACAGACAAATGGACAGACGGACCTTTGAGGAACCACAGGCACTTGTCGGTGAGCTTCACGCAGGCGGAGAGATTGAGGTGCTGGAGCTGGGAGAGGTGCTGCAGGACAGAGAGCCCTTGGTCTGGTGGGAGAGGAGAAGTGGTCAGGGAGGGCCTGGTCAGCTCAGGCCAGCACAGGGGAGGAAAAGGAGCCCTCCCTTCCAGCTGAGATGCCTGTCTACTAGTGTCTCCTCCCGCCACACTCCCTGCTCCTGATTGTTCCTCAGCCTCCT